AAAGAAATCGGCTCCTGAAAAAGCACAATTATGTCACCGTGTCGACAGATGCGTAGAATCTCAGTTCGTGGGAAAAACGCAAAAAAACGGGAAGCGAAAGAAAAAATAAAGGAAAACCTTCGCACACATTTAATTTTTGCGTTTTCCGTCTATTTTCCCTCGTTGCGCGCTCGTTTCCATATCTCCGCGAGTTGACTTGTGAGAACAGACCTGGATACTAGAACCCAGTACCTTTCTATCACTAATTCAAGATGGCGTCGAAGCGCCAAATCTTTGAATGAACTGTTTTTGCAGTGTAAACCGCTAAAACGGTTAAACCAGCTTCAGTTTTAAACCGAAATGAGTGCTAAAGCAGCAAATACAACTACAAAGGCGGCAATACGTCAGCGTATATGGGATCACATAGAAAAGAACGATCTTGCGAACTTTCCCAGGCCAGTTCACCACCGAATCCCAAATTTTAAGGGAGCAAACACGGCGGGAGAAAAGTTGTTGCCATGGATATATTCAAGAAAGCGAAGACTGTCAAGGTCAACCCAGATAAGCCACAAGAATGGGTGAGGTACAAGACATTAGATGAAAGAAAAGTGTTGTTAGTTCCTACACCAAGGTTAAGAACTGGCTTGTTTAACCGTATTGTCCCTCCATCTGGAGCTAATACCGCAATGCTAAAGAGATGTGCAACTAGGGAAGGTATTACTAATTACAGCACTCCTGTTGGACTGGAACATAAGGTCAACATTGATCTTGTTGTGATTGGATCTGTGGCGGTGTCCTCAAAAGGTGGGAGTCGGTATGTGTTAACCTTTAAATGCCCTAGGCTGTAAGCAGGCTCGCGAAATATAAATGCGTACGCGAGCGGTGGTGGAAATGAGCCAGCTTGCCAGCACCCTCCCGCCAATCGCACATGCTTTATTTTGTGAGCCTGCTTGCAGACTACAAAGTCAAAGGGCTGTATTATTACATGAAGCTATCACTCATGTTCATGTAACTTGTCTCTCAATGGAGGCAAGTTACATAAAACATTGCACCGTGTAATGCAGAGATGCCAATCTCTGGAAATCTGGAGATTTTTCTTTTGCGGCAACCCCCTATAATCAACCCACCCCATCGGCTCTCCCCAAATTGATCCCCCTCCCGCAAAATCAATCCAGCCCCCCCCCCCCCCACAATATTGACAGTCAGTTATATGGCCATAATAATGATAAAATATTTCCATATTTCCTTTAGTTTCTGTGAATGTCTGTAACAGATTGGGTAGAAAGATGTGCGAAAATACAGCCAGGAACTGTAACATGAATTTGAAAAACCAAATTTTTTGGATTTGGGGAAAATTTGTGTTTAAAACTTAACCTATTGTAGAGAAAAGATCCAAAGTCACTTTTATCCGGGAGATTTGGTGACCTGTACGGGAGACCGGGAGATTCGTTCCGTGTCCAGGAGAGTTGGCATATACATGTACATGTATGGTCACGTTTTGCCTAACTGTACCTCTTGTCGACCCCCAAACGATCAACCAAAAACTCGTCTGATTCCACCAAAAGATGGATAAACTTCCAAAATCCCCCAAAAGTAGTGGATTAACTATACTTGACGTCAAACACACGGAGTGTATCCTAATATGCTAAAAATAAGTTTGCACACAACCCTAAACAAATTCATAAACAAAACAATGTTCTCATGTCCTTCCAATAGGCTATCGGATAGGTAAGGGTGAGGGATACGCTGACATGGAATATGCCATGATGGTTACCATGGGAGCTGTCAATCAAGACACAGTTATAGTCTCGACTGTTCATGACTGTCAAGTGGTGGATATTCCAGATGAACTAAATGATGAACATGATCTTATGGTAAAAATAATACTCATTAGAAAATAGCCTATTAACTATAGAAAGTGTACGTTCTGATTGGCTGAAAGTCGTGTTTTTTTATATTACATGTAGATAACTAGCTTGCGAACAGGCTTCCTGGGCATGCTCAGACGGCAGAAGCAACGAGGTGCAAAGCGCCGATTTTCCCCACCGTCTGAGTGCGCCCGGGAAGCCTGTTCGCAAGCTAGTAGATAACATACTATAAGGTTCATTTTATCTACAAGCCTAGGTTGGTGCTTACCCCGGTAACTTTGGTTTCCATAGCATGAAGCGGAATATTGCTACACCCCTGGTTTCCCGCAGCATTTTTGTCAGTTTGCCTGAGTGAAAATTCACCAGTACCCATTAAAACTCCTCATGGGTGTGTCTTGCCCAAGACCACACAGTGTTCCTGGCCAGCACTTGAACCTGGACAGCTCGATCCAGAGTCTAACGTGCTAACCAGGCCACCATGTCTTCCCAAAACACGGAATAGTTTCCTATGAGTTATTTTCTAAGGATGTTGTTAATTCTCACATTCAACCAGAAATTCAGCCAATAAAAGAAAACAAAAAAAACAAAAAAAACAAAAAAACAGAAACAGATATAATCAGAGTATGCAAAATTTCAGGTTTGAAAGGTAACAGGTCAAAATTGACTTCAAATGATGCTTGCAAAAGTTTTTTTTTTTAACAAATTACAACATTGTCAAAATCTTAGGAGCATTTGTCCCTGCGAGTGTGAGCACATGCTTCGTACAGGTCCTTGAAATCCTGGAAAGTCCTGCTATTTTGTTCTGGTATTTTCCAGAACCCTCACTCAGTGAGCACAAAAATGGCAATGTGGACTGGAAGAGGTTGGGACAAGTTTTTCTTCTCGTGTACATCACACCCTCTTCTCGCCCCTTTCCCTTCTCGTCCCAAGCCCTCACGCCAGGCTCCTTATGTGATTTCGAGAGAGAACAGACTGTAAGCAGCAGGGGTTTCATTAGAAGCCGGCTACTGGCGGTCTACCGCCGCCTATGTTGCCTCTTGCCGCCACTTACTAATCAAGCCTTCTGTTTTTCTGAGAGTTTACTTATAAGATTTATGAAAGAAAAAAACCAACGACTGACATAACAGTGTAAGTCTTTAAACTCCAAACTTCATATAGAATAATCGCAAGATCGTTTAAAATACCTGAGATCTAATGTGATTGATAAAAATTGTCATATGTAGCACAAGATTTGACTCGCAGAATGCTGGAAATTGCATTTCCGAGCTTCTACATTTCCAAAATTTTCTTATGGCCCCTTATTGGTCACAGCCACTTATTCCACCATGGTAAGCTGCTTACTTCCAAAATGAATGAAACCCCTGCCTCACGCCAAGCTCCTTTGTGATTTCGAGAGAGAAACAGACTGTAAGCAGTCTAGTCCAATAATTGCTTATTATAACTTGTTGTTGTTGTTGATTGTGACTCAACAGTGATTGTTTATTCTTCTGTTGATCAGGTAGATTACATTGTGACCCCTACAAGGATAATCAACTGTGAGGGGGACAGACAGAGGCCAACTGGAATACAGTGGTCAAAAGTCACACCTCAAATGTTGAAGGAAATTCCAGTCTTAAAAGACCTTAGAGAGAAGGAGAGAAGGCTTGGAAGGGATGTCTCTTTGAAAGAGTAGTTAAGGAGTCATCAACAAGGTAATTGTGTATGAAAGTTAAAACATTAATTTTTTTGAGCATTAACTTATGTTGATAGCTGTGAGCACTCTGGCCCCCCGGGGTGGGGGGTACTTTACCCATGTTTGGGTATAGGGGTGACCCTGTTCAGGACAAAAAAAAACTAAAAAACCCTAAAATACCTACCCTGTGTAGGACATTACATCCTCTATTTTAGAACCGCCGTTTAGGACAAAGGACAAAATACACACTCTCTTGTTTTGCAAAATTTTATGTGTGTTATTGGCAATTGCAATTTAGCGAATGACGTTTGACTGATCCACGCTAAAGACCGGCAAATGTCTCCGATCTCGGATAGCTAAATACTGTATAAACCATATTTTTACGAGGACAATCATGTAACCATACCCTGTTAGGACAGACTCGCATAAATTATATACCTGTTCAGGGCAGAGAGGCCAAAAACCATACCCTGTCTCCAGCGGCATGTCCCTGTATAGGCGACATAAGGGAGTACGTCCCCCTCCCAGGACCCTGGCCTGATTCTATGGCTTCAAACTTTTGACATAGCCTGATGGTCAGTGGATTGGACTCTGGATGGAGCTGAGGTCATTCATTGTGTTGTCTTCTTGGCAAGACACTTATTTCTCACAGTGCCTCTCCACCCAAGGCCTGCAGGGCCCAGTTGTTCGAAAGCCGATTAACGCTATTCCAGGATTAACAAATAATCAAGGTTTCAATTTCTCCTATATAAATGTGGTTTCCATGATATTGTTTTGTGGAGTTTGACATTAGTCAAAGTCAAAACTGAAGAGCAAAAAATATAAACAGAAAATCTCACTGAAAAGTTACAAAACTGAAATCAAAATTCACGCTAATCCATGATTAGCTTAATCATGCTTTGAACAACCGGGCCCTGGTTGTTCGAAACCGATTAACGCTAATCCTGGATTAACAGTCAATCAAGTTTTTATTATTTCTCTTGACATATAAAAGTGCTTTTCACAGCTATTGTTTTGTAGAGTTTGAGGTTACTAAATTCAAAACTGAAGGACAAACAATATAAACATAAAACTTCACTGAAAAGTTGCAAAACTGACATCAATAATATTCACGCTAATCCTGGATTAGCTTAATCATCCTTTGAATGACCGAGCCCATGAGTATAAATGGGCACCAGCAGGGCAACCTGACAAAAATGCTGGGGGTAACCTGCGATGGGCTATCATCCTATCCAGCGGGAGTATAGTGATACATCTTAGTCATTAACACATGTAAAGCCGCACTCGGGTCAAATTGGCTCACACTGCTGGAGCTTATCCCGGTTTCTTTGAAGCCGACTAGTAGTATTGCTACTCCCCCTGGATGGGATGCTAGTCCATCGCACCCCCAGTATTTTGTCGCCAGTTCCCATTTATACTCCTGGGTGGAGAGATGAGAGGCACTGTGAGAGTAAAGTGTCTTGCCCAAGAACACAACACAGTGACCCTGGCCAGGGCTCGAACCCGGAACACTCGATCCGGAGTCCAGCACGCTAACCATTGGGACAGCACGTCTTCCACTTCACCTAAGCATCCACACTTATTCTGGTCCCATGGGTGTTTGTGTGTGGAAGGTTAGCTTGTACATTGATATACTTATATAATGTTATTAATGTCAAACAGCAGAATTAAATACATACTGTAGAAATACAGCAAACAACTTTATTGAATTCCACACGTGGATGACATTTGTTTTATGGCAACACACACATGCCATGATTGTAGCTTTTTTATACAACACAGTAATCTAGAGACATAACATTAATAAACAATAGCAGTGCTAATTACTGAACAGTGCAATAAGGGCATTTCACACAACATAGCAACTAGTAGCTGTCCTTGAATCTTACATTCTAGCTTGATATTTAGCGTTACATATTTTGTTACGGCTCTGTACACCAACACCGTGCACATGGCCTTTGTACTTTGCCTAGCCAATGCCGACAGCATGCAGAACTGTAAATGAAAACCTATTAAGTAGATGAGCGCAAAGATCTAATGTGAACTCGAGAAGTTTACTCAAGTGTTCACTTGATCAACCACTGACAACATGTTCCTCACCCAACTCTACATCTATCTAACTGCAAACTAGACAATGATTTTCCTCAAAAGCTCTTTACATCAACTAGAAAAGCACAATAGCCAAATTTGTCTTATTAAACTTGCAAGGCAAAACAGTTAGCACATGTAACACTGCTTGGGCTAGGTCATGCCATCCTTGACAATTCTTGCTGATTTTCATAAGGTAGTTACATCGGCAAATTTGCACGTTTTTGATAGGTTGTATTTCAGCGAAAATGTAAAATTTGAAAACGTCAGTGATCCAGTTAGGAAATCGCAACTATGTAACAAATAAGCTTAAGATATCCCTCTCACTTCATTTTTTCAAAATAGTGTAAAACAAATCAAACCCCATAAAAATACTGCTCAATAGCTTTCATGTGAATAGTGAAACACTAGGGTTTCATCCACATTATTATGTTATAGTTAGAACCACATTTATATTGATGTAAAGTTTCTGGCAGTGAAAGCATTAATCTGAGCATACATTTTTATATCACATTGTGATAGAATTATTAACCTCTGTCGACCTGTTAGGGATAAGTTATGATTTTTGTAATCTGCCAGTTCTAAAACTTTGCCAATTTTGATAACTTTGTGGTGTTTCTTTTGTGTACCATTATTTACAGATTTCATTTGAAATTTTAAGATTGTGTACATAGAACAGAATCATCTAACATGGCATGACCACACCCCTTAACCCTTTCACTCCCAAGAGCGCTAAGTTCAAAACTGAGGGAAAAATCTTGAATTTCATTTTGCAAAATTGTCAAAAACAAACAGTACCACTTGAACGTACTGCTCAGTAGCTTTCATTTGAATGGTCACACACTAGGGTTTTATCCACAGACTTAAAAGTTAGAACCACCTTGTACAGCATAATAAACAGTACCATATGAAAGTAATGCTCAATAGCTTTCATTTGAATGATCACACACTAGGGTTTCATCCACAGACTCAAACGTTACAGCCACATTTATTGACTCAAGGTTTTACTCTGGAGTGAAAGGGTGATTAGGCACTACAAGTACAAGAGTAAAGTGCCTTGCACAAGAACACAGTGCTCAGACCTAGATCATTCAATCCAACGTGCTAACTATTAGGCCACTGTTCCTCTTGTAACAAGAAGAAAACAAAGCAAATAAAATAAGAAAATTGAAATGCTTGTAATATGTTGTGAGTATATAATCTACAGCGTAAATATCCTTGCAATTTGTTATTTTTAATTAAAATACACTACTTGTAGTAAAATAATACTTTTTAAGCTATAATTTTTATCTACATGTACATGAGACATCTTCTATTGGAGGTTTATAGTATTACACCACTGTCTAACTTTTTAAGCTATTAATTTAGTGTAATGTTACTAACATCCCTAAATACAATATTAATTTATTTACCAACTTGATAGGGATTCTTAGGCCTGTCTGAATGTAAAATAATATACATGTTGAGTGTACGATTGCTGGGTTTTACAAAGGAATGAAGCTTTAGCTCTAAGTGTTGTTAGATTGTTTGTAGTGAGTCTGCAATTTAGGCAGTCAGTATTGTATCAGTATTGTGACGTCTAATAATTCTCTCACTCGCTGTAGCATTTGCTATGGAGTTGCCAGTTCATCAAAATTATTTTTGAACTTTTTATTTTAACTGGAATTTCTCCATATCTCTGCGAGTCAATGCTGTTCTGGAGTTTGCATCAATTTGACAAGTCACAGATACCACACTTCCTGTTGCTGATTCCAAAACTTAAATTATTATAGGTGTATATAATGTATATACAAGTAGTAATGATATTTTTTTAAGAATCCCGCTATAAAAAAACATTAATGTCATGCTCATGACTAAATACATGTTTAATTAGTCCAAGATGCATCCAATGCATTAGGACACGTCTGTAAGTCACTTTGTGGTGATGTAGACTTCCTTGATAAAGATTATAATAATTATTACTAATAAATCAACTCTCGCCTTGCGGACACTCCGTTATTACGGACACCCGCTATTACAGACAAAATCCAGCCCTCCCCCGGTGGAAGCTGTAGAAGTTTGATTGAAAATGACTCCCACTATTCTCTCGCTATTATGGACTCCAAACTACGTCTCGAGGGTGTCCGCTATAACGGGAGTTGACTGTAAATGCCTATGGTACAACAATTTAACAATAAATTGTAAACTACTTTTCAAGTTGAAAAATCAATAGAATAGCTACAAAATTATGAGATCAGTTCATTTTTTTGTAGTTCACACAGTTCACAAGAAGTCGCCACATTCAAGAGCTCTAAGAAGCTCATCCCCCTGTAGAAGTGTATTCTGGACTGGTGCGTTGACTTCGGCATCCCATGGGGTGATGTATGGAAAGAACCCCTTCCCTTTGGACACAATCTCATTTGTCACATAGCCATTTCGTTTCACGGCTGTTGGCACGATGTCTTTCCGTGACATAACCGGTGAAGACTCGGTGGAGAAACTTGGTGGACGGTTGTAAGAAATAGGTCTGTTTAATGGTGGTGGTGCCATCGCTGTACTACCTGGAGAAGGGATGCTCTCCTCTGCGTTAAGCAGCCATGATGATGGTGTCATTGGTGAATCAATGAAAGGTATTTCAACGAGTAACTCCTCATCGCAATCCAACCCAGAGTCAACTATTGACAATGGAATGAATGGCGCTCGCTCGTCAAAGTTCTCTTCTTCATCTTTAGCCTCTGTTTGTTTATCTGCGTCAATCTTTTGGTCCTCATTTGGTGAAGGAATGTGCGGTGTTCTACTCTCTGTTTTGCTGTTTTCTGGGTTAGAGGGGCGAGGCGTGTCTATGACACCATAGTGACTATATAACAGCTGTTCGTACTTCTGTTGTTGTTCAATAAGTTCCTCATTGGTGTCCCATGCTACAGGCAGGCAATCCTAATAAACACAATATCATTACGTTAATTTTTCATTTTAATAAATTAAATCTGTCTTCGTCAAAATTAAAACAACAATAATTGATTGAAGTGAATTTTCATTTGACGTAAGCACCATGTTTACCTTCTCAGATAAACCTCCCTTGCACTTCCAAGTTATAAACACATACCTGGAAGTTCATGTGCTCGCAGTCAACATCCTCCAGACACTTGCAGGATTTCTTAGCAATCTGTTTTGACGAAGCTCTCATACAGCACGTGTTCAGGTTGGTCTCCTTCTTAGGGACAATATCAGCTGGACGCTGTTCGTGCGCTGCAGCCTTGAGCAGCTTGCTGCGCTCTTCTAACACAATGGAATGCTTTCTCCTTGTACCCCTTGCTTTGGCATTTCTTTTTTCACCACAAGGTCCAGCCCGAGGGTGCAGGGACTGGGTTTATTTGCTCTGTGGACAGTATGAAGTCCTCCTTGTCTGATCTCCTAAACAAAGAAAGATTAAAAATTAACATTTATCACTACCAAAGTATCCTTCTCTAAACATTTTGCAAAGAGCTGAATGTCTTCTTTAATAGTTAATTGACATCTCTAATTAATGGACATACACCTCCCATTAGTGGACAGACACCTCCCATTAGTGGACAGACACCTGACCTCCGACAAGCAGACAGACACCTCTCATAAGTGGAAAACACCTATCACACTTCCGCCACAAGTGGACATACACATTAGTGGGCAGACACTTCCCCTAAGTGGACAGACACACCTCCCTTAATTGGACAGTCACCTCCTGTGAGTGAACAGACAACTCTCATAAAGTGGACACTTCTTATAAGTCAATGCTTACAGTGGACAGCACCCATAGCTGATCACTCCCTTCCCTTAACAGAAACCTTCTTTTGGTGGACACCCAGTCAGCCACACACAAGCTACATGTACACTTCAAACCTCCAAAAAGTAGACACCTCTCACAAGTAGACAGTCGACCATTACAGTCCAATGAGTGTCCAGTTATGAGAGGGATCGGTTATTTTTGGTCTTCCAGTGAGATAAGTACTTAAAACTTACATGATGATGTAATTTGTGCACAGGACAAACTGTGGCTGACAGGTCTTGCTGTCGTAAACTATGTTAGCCTTGGTCTGTAGCCACACCCAGCCTCCGCTGCGCACCAAGAAGCGGTAGTACTTGCTTACTGACTGCCCCTTGGTTAGCACTATAAAATAAGTTGAGATATAATCCACAAGTTAATATCTTAATGCCACATTCATGAGACATAACTAAGTAAACTGCTGTAGGAAATTAACCCTTTCATTCCCAGAAGCAAGCATCAAGTCAATTATCATGTTTCTAACTTTTACGTCTGTGGATAAAACCCTAGTGTGTGACCATTCAAATGAAAGCTATTGAGCAGTACTTTGATGCGGTACTGTTTGTTTTTCCATATCTTCCAAAGTGAAATGTGAGATTTTTTCAATTTTGAGCTTTGACACCCGTGGGAGTGAAATGGCTAACAAAGTGTTTCACTAGTCTTGCCTGCTGATGCAGCATAACAGTTT